TGCCTCCTGCATGCCCCCCACTGGGGATTTGGGCCACAACCTGGGCATGTGCCCTGACCGGGAATCAAACTGGTGACCTCTTGGTGCGTGGGTCGACGCTCAACCACTGAGCCACACAGGCTGGGCGAGACTAAATTATTTTAATAGTTTGAGTTCAATCAATAATGCCTAATATTTATATGGCATTTACCAATTGCAAGGCACTTTTCTGTGTACTTGACAGATCTTTAATCCTCACTACAACCTTAGGAAGCAGGTACGTTATTATTAACACTTTTAGGTGAGGGGATTAAGTCATAGAAAGGCTAAATGATTTTTTTTCCAAGATTTCAGTCACATAGCTAGTTAGTGGTAGAGTCTGGTCTCAAACCTAGGAACTCTGATTGCAGAGTCCATGCTTTTAATTATTTTACTCCCCAACAATCTAAATTTTTAACAAGGATAAATATAAATTCCCTTATTTAGGCTAAAAAGAGAGAAACACGCAAGAGATACTTGTGTATTTTAAGATGTCACAAGTTTGAAGACTATCACCTTTTAAGACGATATTAGACAAAATGATGTATTCTCAAGAAGCAAAATGGTGAGAGGTTCAGGGCAACTTATATCATGAGTGATTATAGGAATTGAGGCTTTAACCTAGAGAAAAGGAGTAGCTCTCTTCAAATATTTAATATCTATTACCAGATTGCTAAGGATCTGTCCTTGAAAGGCTCCAAGTTATTTTTCTAGAGGGCATAGTTTACTGTAGAATTTAAGAGCATAGGCTTTGGAAAGAGATTGGGTGGGTTCAGATCCTGGTTCTGCCACTTAACTGAGCACATGAACCTGGGCAATTCACATAACCCTTCTGCCCTGGCCGGTTTGGCTCAGCGGTTAGAGCATCGGCCTACAGTCCACATAACCCTTCTGCGTCCTTTTCCTTAATTGTAAAATAAAGGTTATGATGATGATGATAACAGTATCAAACTCATAGGATTAAATGAGTTCTGACACATGCTAAGCATTATATAAGATTTATTAACAATGAATGGAAGTGATAGTTTGATTCCATATTATTCTAATTAGGAAGAATTTTTTAATTATAATTATTTAAGTGAAGAACAGAATATCCCCAAAGCTAATGCCCTTCCTAGCTGTTGGTTGCTAGGCAAAATCTTTTTTTTTTTATTATTAATTTTTGTTACAGATATTTCTTCCTTTCCCCCCTAGACCCCACCTCCCAATCCTGCCCCATGCTGAGCAAAATCTTGAATGACCATTTTTCTTTTGGTTAGTCACATGGCCAGACTTGACTGGTGAGGAAGCCTGGGAAATATATGATCCCTTTTCCTAAGGAAGGAAGTAGAAAGACTGGGGGTACCCAGCAGTCTCTCCATAGGCCTAAGCAAAATCTTGAATGACTACTTTTGTCAGAGATGTTTAAGAATTCCTAAATTTGCCCTGGCCGGTTTGGCTTAGCAGTTAAGAGTGTTGGTCCGTGGACCAATGAGTCACAGGTTCGATTCTGGCCAAGGGCACATACCTCAGTGCAGTTCATCCCCAGTCCTAGTAGGGTCTTGTGGGAGGCAACCAGTCGATGTGGCTCTGTGACATTGATGTTTCTCTCTGTCTGTCTCTCCCTCCCTCCCACTCTATCTGATGATAAATAGAAAAGTATCCTTGGGGTGAGGAGTGAAAAAAAAAAAAAGAATTCCTAAATTTGCCCAGCCAGTGTGCCTCAGTGGTTGAGCATTGACCCATGCACCAAGAGGTTGTCGGTTCGATTCCCAGTCAGGACACATACCCAAGTTGTGGGCCCAATCCCCAGTAGGAGGCATGCAGGAGGCAGCCAGTCGATGTTCTCTCTCATCGATGTTTCTCTGTCTCTTTCCCTCTCCCTTCCTCTCTCTCTAAAATCAATAAAGAAAAAAATAATAATTCCTAAATTACAACAGAGGTTTATCTAGGTGATCTAGAATTCCTGCTTGTTAACTCATAATATAATTACTAGTTCTCCAAGTAAATATAATAGTATTTTACAAAAATTTTTGGTATTTGTTTTTGCTTTGGGGAACACCCACAATTATATCTTCAGAATTTTTAAATAGGAAGGGGGATGGTTGTTAAGAGAAATGAAATGAGAAACAATCTGTATTATCCTAATTGACACTATTTAATGGTTTTGTTTTGGGTTCTTCTCTAGTTGCCTGGGTCCCAGGAAGATTAATACCTGTATTGTGGGTGGGGGTGATAAATCTTCAAAATATTCTACTAATGCTGCACTGGCCAATCAAAATGTAGGGATGGAGATCTCTGCTATGCATGGCAGTAAGTCCTTCAGTTGTTGACTAGAGAGGGTAAGTCTGAGAGAGTTCTGAGTAAAAGAGTGAAGCAGGAGAGGGAAACAGGTTTGAGACAATGGCTGCTTTCAAACAAGTTTGGAAGCATTTTAATATTTTAGTAATAACGTTAAAAATTGAGTGGGTGGCCCTGGCCAGTTTGGCTCAGCGGTTAGAGCGTCGGCCTGCGGTCCAGAGAGACCTGGGTTCGGTTCCCACTAAAGGCATGACGAACCTTGGTTGCAGTTTGTCCCCAGCCCTGGTTGGGTCATGTGGGTGGCAACCACTCGATGTGTCCCTTTCACGTTGTAGTTTCTCTCTCTCTCTCTCTCTCTCTCTCTTCCCCTCTCTCCTTCCCACTCTATCTGAACAAAAAATGGAAAAATGTCCTCAGGTGAGAATAAAAAAAAAAATGGAGTGGGTGGGTGGAGGTGGAGGAGGGTATAGGGAGGATAAAGGTTATGGGGAGGGAAAATCATTATCCTGAACTGAAGACACTCTGTCCTTTCCCCACCTTGGCCAAAAATTGACCATAAATGTAAGGGTTTCTTTCTGGACTTTCAATTTCCATTCCACTGATTCTATATGCCTATCCTCATGACAATACTACATTGTCCTGATTACTGTAGCTTTGTAGTCAGTTTTGGAATCAGGTAGTGTAATTACTCCAATTTTGTTCTTTTTCAAAATTGTCTAGTCCTTTGTATTTCTATATACATTTCAGAATCAGCTCATCAGTATCTACCAATAAATAAGAGTGCTGGGATCTTGTTAGGGATTGCATTAAATCTAATCAATTTCAGAACTGCCATCTTAACAAGACTGAATCTAACAATCCATGAACATGGAGAATCTCTCCACTTATTAGTCTTCCTTCATTTCTCTTCGCATATTTTATAGTTTTCGGTGTAAAAATCCTGGACTTGATTTACTAGATTTTTTTCTAAATGTTTTACTTTTTGATGTTATTGTGAATGCAATTATTTCCTTAATTCATTTTTGTTATTAGTATAGAGAAATACAGTTAAATTTTGTATATTTATCTTGTATCCTACAACCTTGCTTAAACATATAAGTTCTAGTAGTTTTTGTTTTTGCTCTCTCTGTGTGTGCATTCCTTATGTTTTTCTTTTTTTTTTTTTTTTGCTGCTGTAGAAAGAATGTATTTATTTCCAGAACATTTTTAAGTAACAAAAACTACTACAGTATAAAGTAACATAACATAATGGAACAAAAACTACTACCATGTAACAAAGGTGCCAAGTACGGGGGTGGGGGGGTGGTGGTCCTTATGTTTTTCTAAAGAGGATCGTATCTGGCCCAACTGGTGTGGCTCAGTGGTTGAGCGTTGACCCATGCACCATGAGGTTGCTGGTTCAATTCCCGGTCAGGGCACATGACCAGGTTGTGGGCCAAATCCCCAGTGAGGGCATGCAGGATGTTCTCTCACATTGCTGTTTCTCTCTCTCCTCTCCTTTCCCCTCTCTAAAGTCAATAAAGAAAAAAAAAAATTTTAATGCAAAAAAAAAAAGATCATACCTGCAAATAAAGGCAGTTTTATTTCTTCCAAATGGATGCCTTTTGTTTGCCTCTTGCACTGGCTACACCCTCCAAGTACAATGTTGAGAAGAGATGGTAGGAGCCTGTGTCCTTGCATTATTTCTGATCTTTAAGAGAAAAGTATGAAGTCTCACCAATAAGTGATATTAGCTGTAGGTTTCCCTTAGATGCCTTTTATCATATGCTTCTGTTAAAATAACATGCCTTGGCCTCATCCAAAGACTTAGGAATTGGATCTCAAGGAGGTGCAGTCTTGGTAATTTGTACTTCTTGGAAGTGGCCCAGATAAAAGACTTAGTGGTGTTTGAGGACCTACACTGCTCACCAGGAGCCAGCTTGTGGAACCCCAGAAGAGGAACTCCTAATTACCTTCCTGGGACAGTCTCTGAAGAAAGATCTCAAGAGCTCTACAGTTGCCTGTTGGGAGCAACAAAAGTGCTGCCAGTAACATTCAGCAGAAGGGCCCTCAAAGAAAAGTGACAATCAATCTCTCATGTATTGATCAGAGCTGTAAAGAGCAATCCAGTGTTTCGGACTTTAAGAGACAAAATGGGTCAAAGTCAGAAGGCAAACTGGAGCTATTAAATTGTTTGCCTAGGTTGTGTTATGCCCAGGATTAAAAGCTTCAGGCCCTGGACGGATAGTTCAGTTGGTTAGAGTGACATCCCCATACTCCAAGATCAGGGATTCATCCCTGGTTAGGGCACATGACACTAAATCAATGAATGCACAAATAAGTGGAAAAACAAATTCTTTTTCTCGCTCTCTCCCTGTCCCTCTCTTAAATCAATTGAAAAAATAAAAGCTCTAGGACCTGAGAGTGAAATTATTGGTGGTACTGTTTAGCCTAATGGTGGCTTAAAATAGTCATGCGGCCTACCCAAACTACTTTACCACAAAGTGACACTGCTTCTACGCGGAAATTTTATATTCCTAACAAATGAATTACAAAAGCATTTTAGCCTTATTACCTCAACCCTGGGAACCAATCAAACAAACAAGGGAAGGAAAGACTGTAGCTAGTACTATTGATTGACGTACATTACAACCAACCTACTACGAAAGGATAGCGCGCCTGCGCAAGTCTTTATCCAATCAGTACCAGCGGCAGGGGCGGGGCTTGTGGAAACGGCCACCGCAGGGTTGGCGGACTTCTGAAGGAGCTGAGATGGCGTATTGAGGCGTTCCGCGGAGAGCCGGCCTTTAGGCCGGTTTGGGCCGGCTTCCGGCCGGTCCAGTGCTTCTGCTGGTTCATGCGAGGTAAGCCGAGAAGGCCACGTCGGGGGTCAAGCAGGAAGTGGCGCGGCCCAACTCCGCACGGGTACAGGAGTGCGCGAAGCCAGCCCGCAGCCGTCTCTGGTATCGGCCGGGCATGGGTTTCCTCCCGAGCTGCCCCAGGGCGCCGGCACCCGCCTTCCGGGGTGTGTCGCATCGCCACTTGGTCCTCGACCCGCCACTGACCCCATTAGTACCAAACCATGTCTTTGGCTGCCGGGCGTGGTTGCGCCCACGCGGGTGTATATGTCTGGCAGCCGCTGGTTCGGCCATCGGTTTATCCTTTGAAGAATATCTTTGTTGATTTATTTATACTCCCCGCCTCACGGCGTCGTGGTCACTGTTTTGCCTGAGGTTCCGGTATCCATCCAGGCCTATTGCGGCTCTGGGTATTTTGTGTCCCTGGTCCGTTGACCTTGAGATTTGGTCTAACATGTTGCTTCTAGGATTTTAATTCGAGTGTGTGTACGGTGCACGTCCCCTTGTTACTTTACTACATCCTTTCATTCCCACTCCCACCTCTCAAACTTTAAAGAGCTGAATAAGCAGCTTGTCCTTGTATGACCTGATAATTGCCTAATGGCGCATTAATCTCGGCTGACTCTAGATCTCGGTGGAATTCTCCGTTGTTGTTTTCCAAAACTAGAGTCAGTGTACAATTTTTACTTAATAATTTATTTGTAGAGAGAATGAGAGTTTTTGGAATTATTAGAACGTAGTTTGTGTAATGTGATGGGGTTGCAAAGTGTAATGCTGTTAGGCATTTGTATTCGGTTCTTGTTTAACATTATGGGGTATCACTTTTTGTTATTTGTAACTCCTCACTTGGTCTTTCAGTTCAATTCTGGGAAGGGTTCCCGTTGTTAGGTTTCTGAATAGATGAAGACTGTTTAAAACTGGCATGTCATTTGGGTCCAGTTCAAATGACATGTCATAATACAAATGAATGTTGCTGGTATGCAAACATCAGAACTTATAAGATCTTTCTGTTGCTTTTGTCAGGAGTAGTAGTTTTTTGTTTTTCCATTTCATCTGCCTGCTAGGAGAAGAAGGAAGATGGGGGCAGGGGAATGGAAGAACATTCTTCCTCCCTACCTTAAGGAGGGGAGTGGTCATCCATACAAAACCAAAGGTGTTTTGGGGTGACTGGCAGGAAGGGTGGGGGACATAGAGCATCATAATCAAAGGGGACAGTGTTCCATAAAAACTTGACAACCACTGCTCCAAGAGTTTAGACATCTTTATAAAATTAATGCCAGTGCAGGTAGACAGTAACTTCTTTTTTATTATTCCTTCTGAATAGTTTGTGATAGTGATGTTCTTTAGAAAAGCTTGAGTCATTTGAATAATTTTGCAAAAGAATGCATATCTTTACTGTAATATTCTTTTTATTTTTCCTTACCACAGGAAGAACATTTTCCTTGACTTTTAGGTGCTTTTATATTCATCTCGAAAAGAAAAAATTCTGAACTCAGGATTTGGCAAGTGAGTAATAGTGGCTAATGCTTCTAAATACTGTTTAAGCAACTTGAAAGTATCTAACTAGAACAATAAACCATTAGCTCCAACAGAAGATGAACATCAAAAGTGCCTATAAATAATTAACATTCGAGCCCTGGCTGGTTTGGCTCAGCGGTTAGAGCATTGGCCTGTGGTCTGGAGAGACCTAGGTTCGGTTCCTGCTAAGGGAATTGTACCTCTGTTGCAGTTTGTCCCCAGCCCTGGTTGGGTCGTGTGGGTGGCAGCCACTCCATGTGTCCCTTTCACATCCATGTTTCTCTCTCTCTCTCCCTCCCACTCTATCTGAACAAAATTTTGAAAAATGTCCTTACTATTATTTTATCCTTACCTGAGGATATTTTTACATTTATCTTCAGGTAGAGCAGGAGGAAGACAAGAGAGAGAGAGACAGAAATTGGTTGCAACCTGTACATCCCCCAATCAGGCTAGGGATGAACTGCAACTGAGGCATGTGCCCTTGGCCGAAATTGAACCCTGGACTCTTGGTTCGAGAGCCGATGCTCTGTGCTAAGTATATTTAAAAAAAAAAAAAAAAGAATCATTTGCCCAATCACACTTAAATTTTAATTATAGATAAAAATTGATATTTTAATATTTAATTTATAAAGCTTTTCAGTTCACCTTTGCTATTCCTAGGTGTGAGTCTATTCTGTGCCAGATGTTGATATTTTCTGAATTTATCACAGAAGTAAACTAGGTTCTGTTGCTCAAAGAGCAAGAGGTGATAGGTGCTCTCAATTGACAATATTTGATCTGTATAATAGGGTTCATACCTACTGTATTAGTTTCCTAGTGCTGCCATAACAAAGAACGCCAAACAGTGACTTAGAACATCAGAAATTTATTGCCTCACAGTTTTGGAGATCCAAAATCCAGGTGTTGGCAAGGCCATGCTGCCTCTGAAGGCACTAAGGAAGGATCTGTTCCAGGCCTTCTAACTTTTGGTAGTTCCTTGGCTTGCAGCATTATAATTTCAGTCTTCACATAGTTTTCTGCGCGCGTGCGTGCGTGTGTGTGTGTGTGTGTGTGTGTGTGACACCAGTCAGATGAGATTAGGGGCCTGCCCTGCTCCAATATGACCACACCTTAACTAATTATATCTACAATGAATATTTCCAAATAAGGTCACATTTTAAGGTACTGGGGCCTAGGACTTGAACGTGAATTCAACCCATAACATCTACTTAGTCATATACCTTGATTGTGTTATATGAAGTTCAATGTACAACTGCTTTAAGGATTAAAATCTTGTATACCACTTTCATAAGGTACTTAGAGTAGTCAAACTCATAGAGACAGAAAGTAGAGTGGTGGTTGCCAGTGGCTGCAGGAAGGGAAAATGGGGAGTTATTTAATGGGTACGGAGTTTCAGTTTTGCAAGATGAAAAGAGTTCTGGAGGTGGATGGCGGTGATGGTTGCATAACAATATGCATGTACTTAATACCACTGAACTGGACACTTAAAAGGGTTAAAGGTGATAAATTGTATGTTACATGTATTGTACCACAATTACAAAAAAATTGAAAGAAAGATAAGTAAAACAACTCCAACTGTAGATTTCAATATTAAGAAAAGGAATTAAGGCCATGACCAGTTTGGCTCAGCGGTTAGAGTGACGGCCCGGGGTACAGAGAGACTCAGGTTTGGTTCCTGCTAAGGGCACATTATCTCAGTTGCAGTTTGACCCAGGCCCCAGTTGGGGTTGTGTGGGTGGCAGCCAGTCCACGTCTCTCTCTCTCGCATCTATGTTTCTCTCTCTTCCTCCCTCTCTCCCTCTCACTCTGTCTGAAGATGAATGCAAAAATGTCCTCGGGTGAGGTTAAAAAAAAGAAAAGGAGCCCTGGCCGGTTCGGCTCAGCGGTTAGAGCCTCAGCCCGTGGTCCAGAGAGACCCAGGTTCGGTTCCCGCTAAGGGTGCATACCTCAGTTGCAGTTTGTCCCCAGCCCTGGTTGTGTCGTGCAGGTGGCAACCACTCGATGTGTCCCTTTCACATCGATGTTTTTCTCTCTTACTCCCTCTCTATCTGAACAAAAAATGGACAAATGTCCTCGGGTGAGGATTAAAATAAAAAAATTTAAAAAATCAGTAGATAAAGATCCTCTGGTAAAGATTAACAAAACAAAAAAAGAAAAGAAAAATTAAAACTGATGGGTTAAAATGCCCTTTAGGTGATAGAGTATCATATGCCTTTAGAGGGGAGGCTTTATTGCTTGGATTTAGAATCATAAGTCCAGATCAACAGTAATAGAAACTTGATATTGGAATAGCACAATATTGATTTACCTATTCATCTATAGGGAACTGATGTAAATAAATGTAGGTGCTTCTGTACTTACAAGGAAGCTTTAATTCTGGATATGGAATGATCTCTCATGTACATTAAAGGGAAAAGCAGAGTTGCAGAACCAGTTGTACAGTGTGCTTTAATTTGTGGGAGGAAGTAAATCTACTCATACAGATGTTATATAGTCATAGAATATCTCTAAAAGGTTATGCATGAAACACTGTATACCACTCCCTGGCAGTGGGCAAGGAGACACCTGATTGGTGGTATTGCTGTTATATAAGTCAGGCAAAGCGGACCTATAATTCATCCTAGCTTGATACCTGTGTTGGTGGCCAGAGCTGTTTCATGCCTGGGGCACATCAAACAAAAAAACCCATTGTAGACCTGGCTGGTTTTGCTCAGTGGTTAGAGCGTTGGCCCTTGGACCAAAGAGTCATGGGATCGATCCCAGTCAAGGGCTTGCAACCATCCATTGTGTCTCTCCCATCGATCTTTCTCTCTTCCCCCTCCATTCTCTAAAAATCAGTGGAAAAAAATATCCTCAGGTGAGGATTAACAACAACAAAAAACTGTGTGGTCCTATTTCCCCTTTTTCTATCATGTACATTTTTTACTTTCAAGTAAATAAAAATAACCGAAGGAAGGAAGCACTCAATAAATATTTGATAAATGACTGAGGAGTTTTTGCTTCAGGCAGTAATTTTACATTAGTATATCTAAGGGTAGAAACTGTCTAACAAAACTTAATTTGAATGACAGTGATATCTATTGTGTTTTGTGAGATGTGTTCTGAATTTACTATTTACATAGCAAAGAAAGAAGTATTTAACATCCATGTCCTTAGAAGGCAAGGTATATTAGTTATTTATTGATGCGTAACAAATTAGCTCAAATTTAGTGGATTAAAACAACAGTATACATTTATTATCTCTCACAGATTTATGTGGGTGAGAAATTAGGGAGCAGAGCCCTGACTAGTGTGTTCAGTGGCTACAGTGTTGGCCTGCCCACTAAATGGTCTCAGGTTCAATTCCCATTCAAGGGCACATAACCTGGTAACCTGGGTTGTAGGTTCAGATGGGGTGTGTGTGGGAGGCAACCAGTCTATGTGTGTCTCTCACCTCTGTGTTTATCCTCCTCTCCCTCCATTCCAAAAAAGAAAGAAATTAGGGAGCAGCTTAACTAGGGGTTTCTGACTTGGGGTCTCGTTTACAAGGTTGCAGTCAAGATACTGGCTGGGGTGGCAGTCATCGTATCTAATTCCATGGTGGCTAATTCGCATGGCCTGCAAATTCATGCAGGTGATGGAAGACCTCAGTTCTTTCCAATGTCAGCCTCTTCTAGGGCTGCTGAGTGTCATCATAATACAACAGCTAGCTTCTCCTAGAAGAAGTAATCCAGGACATCAAGGCAGAAATCCAAGCTCCATCTATGACCTTGCCTCACTATCACTTCCTTCTCATTGTTAGTCACTATTTTGATACCAACTAGTATATTTTGATACCATCTGGAGTGAATGCACACCCTACAAGTCAAAGGACATGGTCCCCAAAAAGACTACCGTCACTTTATTTATTTAATCATTAAAAAACTTTGTTTTCTTTTTTTTTATTAATTTATTTTTGTTACATATGTTTCTCCTTTTCCCTCCACTGATTCCCCTCTCCCGGTCGCTCCCCACCCTGTCCCCAGCTTTGTTGTCCATGTCCATTGTTCATGCATACATGCATATAAGTTCTGTGGTTTATCTCTCCTCCACCATCCCCTCTTCTGGGGATTGTCAGTCTGTACCCCAATTCCACTACCCCATTCCTCAGACTGTTATGTTCATTATATTCCACAAGTAAGTGAGATCATATGATACTTGTCTTTCTCTGTTTGGCTTGTTTCGCTTAGGATAATACTTTTCAGGTCCCTCCATGTCATCTCAAAAGATAAAAGATCTTTCTTTCTTACAGCTGCATATACTCCATTGTGTATATGTACCACAGCTTTTTATCCATTCGTCTATTGATGGACATTTGGGCTGTTTCCAGATCTTAGCTATTGTAAATAGTGCTGCTATGAACATGGGAGTACATATATTCTTTCTGATTGGTGTTTCAGGCTTCTTAGGGTATATTCCTAGAAGTGGGATCACTGGGTCAAATGGGAGAGAGAGGAAAGAAGGGGGAGAGAGAGATAGAAACATCAGTAAGAGAGAACATCGATTGGCCACCTCCTGCATGCCCACCACTGGGGACTTGGCCCACAACCTGGGCATGTGCTCTGACCGGGAATCAAACTGTGACCTCTTGGTACATGAATTGATGCTCAACCACTGAGCCACATTGGCTGGGCTATTTATTTAATCATTTAATCCTCACCCAAGGATGTGTTTTTTCATTGATTCTAGAAAGAGGGGGAGGGAGAGGGAGAGAAACATCTACATGAGAGGAACATCTGTGTGAGAAAGAAACATTGATCAATAGCTTCCCAAACTCACATGATCGAGGACTGAACCTGTGACCCTCCAGTGTGCAGGCCAGCGCTCTAACTGCTGAGCCAAACCAGTCAGGGCAGAACTTTGACTTTTATTTATTTTGTTTGTTTTTCGTTTTTTGGTACGTGCCCCTAACGGGAACCAAACCCAGGACTGGTCCTCAGGCCAATGTTCCAACCGCTGAACCAAACTGGCCAGGGTTTTTTTTGTTTTGTTTTATTTTTTTGAGAACTTTGACTTTTAAAATATGTTTTTATTTGTTGTCGTCGTTGTTTTATAGGGGGAGAGAGAGAGAAACATTACTTTGAGAGAGAAACATCGATTGGCTGCCTCCTCCATGACCTGCAGTGGGGATTGAGCCTGCAACCCTGATTGGGAATGGAACCAGGACCTCTCAGTCCATGGGATGATGCTTAATCCACTGAGCCACACCGGCGGGCAGGAATATGTATTTTAAAGTATCTGCACAGTTCCTTATTAAGAAAAGGCGCTCTTGTTAAAGGCTTGATTTGTACTTGTTTGATTTATATATTCTGGAAAGAACTTGTATATTCTTTTTCCCTCAACATTACTGCCCATTATCTTGCCATTAGAATTAAACTGCCTACTCTAGTGGCTGGTGCAAGCTTTCAATCAGCCGAATAAGCTTTTATAATGAAACAGCCCTGTTGCCCCAGGATTGTAAAGGCCTGTCTATGGATCAGCTATATTTATTCCTCTTATTTACACTGCTGCTTTGGCAACAAATACACGTTTTGTAGTTCTCTTCTCCCTGATTTGATTCTGAATTAATTTATATTTGTTTTTCATAGGTTTTGATTCAGAACTGTCTTATCTTCAACCAAAAGAGGTTATTCAAATTCAATTTCAAGTTATTTTATTTATATTTATAGATAGATAGATATAGATATAGATATAAAACATCAACATGAGAGAGACATAGTAAATTTAGAGGGCCAGCTCTGTCTAGGTAGCTCGGTTGGAGCATCATCCCAGTGTGCCAAGGTTGTGGGTTCGATCCCTGGTCGGGGCACATGAAGGAGTCAGCCCATGTGAATGCATAAGTGGGTGGAACACAAATGGATGTTTCTCTCTCCTCCCATCATCCTCTCTCTAAATCAATAAAAATTAAATCAAAATTTTAAATGGAGTGCTATTGGCCATTTTTGTAAGCCAAAGTAATTTAAGCTATTTATATGCATCTGACTTATTTATTTAAATCCTCACCCAAGGATATGCCTACCAAGGATATGCCTATTGATTTTAGAGGAAGAGAAGAGAAATAGAAACAAAATGTGACATAGAACATCTATTGCCTTCTGTACGTGCCTCAACCTGGGAACCTGCAACCTAAGTATGTGCCCTGACCAGGAATCAAACCCACAAACTTTTGGTATATGGACTATGCCCCGATCTTCCAACCAACTGAGCCACACTGGCCAGTGCTGATTTTTTTTTTTTTCCTTTCATTTTAATCCTCACCCGAGAATATTTTTCCATTTTTGTTCAGTTAGAGTGTGAGGGGGAGAGAGGGAGAAAGAGAAACATCGATGTGAGAGGGACACATCAACTGGTTGCCTTCTGCACGACCCAGTAAGGCCAGGACAACTGCAACCGAGGTACATGCCCTTGATCAGAATCAAACTCGTAAGTCATTGATTCATGTGCCAGTGCTCTAATCGCCAGTTTTGCTCAGTAGTTAGAGCGTTGGCCTGCGGTCTGGAGAGACCTGGGTTCAGTTCCTGCTAAGGGCACGTACCTCAGTTGCAGTTTGTCCCCGGCCCTTGTTGGGTCGTGTGGGTGGCAACCACTCGATGTGTCCCTTTCACGTTGATGTTTCTCTCTCTCTCTCTCTCCCTCCCACTCTATCTGAACAAAATATAAAAAAATGTCCTCAGGTGAGGATAAAAAAAAAAATAATAATAATAAATAAAATATACATTAACAATTTATTTTAATCATTTTTAAATGTACAATTCAGTGGCAGTAAGTACATTCACATTATTGTGCAGCCATTACAACCATCTATTTCTAGAATTTATTCATCATCCCAGACATCGGCACCCATTAATCAATAACTCCCCATTCCCCCTCCCTTTACCCCCTAGTAACTTCTATTCCATTTTCTGTCTCTGTGTGTTTGCTTATTCTAGGTACCTCGTGTAAGTGGAATTATATTTGTCCTTTACTTTCTGATTGACTTTTTCAGATAATTGCGATTTAATGAGTGTTATGTTTAACAACAGTGAACTGCTAATGTTTTTTACATGCTTGTATTTGGTCATCATACTAGATAAGTACATATTATTATAGTTGCATTTTACAAAATTTTTATTCATTATTGTTTTTATGTAGTTGAAGATAATTCAAAGTAAGATGATTCATACGTTTTGAGTATTGAGTATTTAGACATCAAATTTGAAGTACAATACTGCTTTTAAATACAAATGTTTTTAATTTTTTTTTTTTTATCCTCACCCGAGGACATTTTTTGATATTTTGTTCAGAAAGAGTGGGAGGGGGAGAGAGAGAGAGAGAGAGAAACATCGACATAAAAGGGACACACCGAGTGGTCGCCACCCACACGACCCAATCAGGGCCAGGGACAAACTGCAACTGAGGTACATGCCCTTAGCAGGAACCAAACCCAGGTCTTTCCAGACTGTAGGCTGACACTCTAACCACTGAGCAAAACCGGCCAGGGCAATACAAATGTTTTATGTAAAATCATTTATGGCTGTAAAAACTTGGAGTATCCCGGTTAGTGTGGCTTAGTGTTTGAGTATCAACCCATGCCCTGGTCAGGGCACATGCCCAGGTTGTGGGCTTGATTCCCAGTGGAAGGCATGCAGGAGGCGGCCAGTCGATGTTCTCTCTCATTGATGTTTCTATCTCTCTCTGTCCCTTCCTCTCTCTCTCTAAAATCAGTAAAAAAGAAAAAAAAACTTGGAGTATATTACTCACAGAAGAGAAAATTAATGGGTATATCTCATTTTATATAGGTTTTCATATAAATCTAGCTGTTTGGTATGATACATATTTTTTTCTGGCTTCTGCTTCTGCTTTTCTGATGACGATACTGAATTTGGTGTTATGGTTGAACATTTTCTTTTAGTCAATGTGTAATTAAAATATTATTTTCTTATTTTTAAAAGTAAGCTCATGAAGAAGTACCTGTTTTAATCTTCCTGTTTTTGGTTTATCCTGTATTTCTAGGTATTTGTGTTGTCTCCTGGAGTGGGGAGTCCTGCTTTTTCTGTCCATCCACTTTCCCTCATCTTGAAATGTGGATATCCCTCCTCTACACTCTTCCTCCATGATTTGGACTGGAAAAGGCTGCGTTTCTTTTTTCTCCACCTCTCAAGTACAACACAGAGAACTCCAAGGATGTGGTCATCCTGCCAACTTCTCCAGGAAGAAAGAAGCAACTGACATGTTTCTTCCGTCATTTGCTTGCTTGTAAAGAAATTATTTTGCAAGCTGAAGGGTGATATTTAATTTGAAAATGGTGCTTAGATGGTGGTATTTGTGCATTTTTAACCTTTTGTTCCCAACCAGAAGACTATATAAACAGCAAGTATGGGTGACATCAGGGTTTTTTTAAATGTCTTCCTGTTTTAGCCACCATCATAAGCACAGCTGAGACTGCAGCAGTAAATTCCAGATATGTGTTATAATTTGAAATGAAAGAGATCCTAAAAATAAATAAATAAATAAATAAATATATACACATATGTGTGTGTGTGTATACACACACACATATACATCCTACATATACATCCTGTGACATAGATTGAGTGGATAAGAACAAAGGTCCAGTTTTGCAGTGAAACCTTTGATGTGATAAAGAAGCATAAAAACAATATCACAAGGTTAATTTCATATGTGAATAAGCCATCCTAGTCTCTGTATAAGTACATATTTTAACATGTATAAATCCATATTTTGGATGAGAAGATGGATTTTTCTCCTACAGAAGGAAACCATTCTTTCTCAGAAGTCTTTGGACATTTGGTATTTTTAAAATGTTTTTCTTCTTCTAAGGGTGGACTGTATTGTGCAGATACTAACCCAGTGAATGCATGCTTGCGTTTAGTGAAAGGCTGATAAAAAGGAAAGAAAAGTTTTGAGTCCAGTGATGGAACCTGTTCACCTCCCTAGGATGAGAGGTTGCTATATTACAGATTACTTCATTCTTTTTTGTGGAGCACTTGGGACTTTTTCCTTGCTGCTAAGTCGGGAAGTAAGTGGCATAAGTGGTTTTTCTGTTCAGAAGATGTGATGGACCCTAGAGTATGACCTGCCTTCAATTTTGGACATGGAGGAACCAGGGGAAATGAGAAAACTTTCCATATAACTCCCTTCTAAGAAAAGGAAGCAAAAAATGTCTTTTACTTCCACCTGACTTTATGCCGTTTTAAATTCTATAGCTCTGTTTTTTGTAAAAGTATAAATAACTTTTTCCTTTGACCCAAGGTCAGTACTTGGGTGTTTGAATTCTTTTTCTAGATGATAGCTATAGTGTTAGGCTGAAAAGGCTGGGACTCAGGTAACTTTTCCAGTTCTCAGAGAATGGGCCTCAGAAGCAATGTTCTCAAACTTATGGTTGGATCAGTAGTAAATTTAAAAGAAATTCAGATCTGAAAAAACCTCAAACAAGAAAAATAGTTCCAATAAGAAAAATGGATTTCCCTTTCCCTTAAAACTTAACTATATGATGAATAACTATAATGTAAAGCTGTTCTTGTTTCGAAATCAACAGAGGACCAATGTATGAATTGTCAGGTCTTTATGTGAGAAGAATGAAACCATTATGGGTTAGAGAAAGAATTTAAAGCCTCTTAGATGAAATTAAGAACAAATCACCCTAGGTCCATACATTTAGGGCAGATTTACCAAAATTTGAGAGCAATAGAACTGGCCCAGAATGGAAATGCTGAGGACTCTTGATTAGATTAATTGGTCCACCAATCTGAATTGGCATAAGAAAGCTTTTTAGTAAAAATAATTATATAGATAAAATGTAATTTTCTCCAGTTGAGGGCGGTTACTAAATGGTAAAGCATTAGAATAGCTTAAATTTTTCTCTACGGAACTTCCCAGCCACTTCCTAATGTTTTAGTATTTTGGAATTATTAAAGAGAATGGAGTTTACATACATGGGTCCCACTGGTATACTGAGAATATCAAATGGAGAATTTGTATCTTTAGTTGTCTGTTCCCCATCTTCCTGGTGTCTTTTTGGCAGCTTTGGGTAGGATCATTTGACAGGAAATAGGGACCCTGTACTATCAGCACCAGGGAAACCATCTCTGGCCCACTCGTTTGAATATATATCAGACTCAGCTTCTCAAGTTGCTTTATACTTTTTCATTTCGCAGCTAAGAGAATTGTTTCATGTTCTTCCAAGTTGTTTCAGCATCTTGTCAGCAGATGGCATTTAACAAAATGCGTATATTCCAGATGTATTTGCCCAGTGTTTACTTCATACATATATTGTTTTTTCCTGGTGATTTTGATCCCCTTCTTGATGGCAAGCGTTATAATTTTCAGTAGGACTATGCCTCGATCTATAGCTGTGCCTGCTTCCTTTCCTTTGTTCATCCATGTTAGCTGGCAGTTTTATTTTTATTTTTTTAAGTTAAAAACGGGATATGTGCAATAGAAATATATATATGTATATTTTAATACTTGTGGACAAATGTTACAAGTTGTTTCAGAACAACAAAATCACCAATGTCTTCCATTTTGAGATGTGTATAGTTTTGTAAGCATTAGTGCTTGGTAGCATATTGTAGTGCCATGTTAGGGGTTAGTGCATGAGCCTAGTAATAATTTAAACTTCAGGATGAATTACTATAATAACCAATAGTGTAAAAAGTGGAAAATTTAGACCTTTTCTTCTTTCATAAATTTCTATATCCATGATATTCTCCCTGGGGAGAGGAGATAAGGCCAAAAAGACTCATTTATGAATAGTAATGTGGGGTCACAATGTGAAATACTGTTTGAGGATATTTAAGCTTCTCATGAGGTAGTTGGAAACCAGCTGCCTGTGTGTCTTAATGAAACCTCAAATCAAAATGTGGCTCCATTTCATGCTTTTGCTTTGCTTAGTTTGAGGTGAGATTGTTCTTACGCTGTCTACACATTTTATGTCATTTAGGTTTATTATTTTCCTACTCCTTTTGAATCAGGAAATTATTTTGCATGTCTTACTGAGATGCTGTGTTAATTGCTTAAGTGAGTGCTTTTCTAATCTGCAGACCATTTACACTTCCTGTCTGCAGCATGTCATATGTCAGTAGTTCAGAGTGCCCTGAATTAATTTGTCATGGGCTTTTCCTATTTCCAAATTTGCTGAATTGTGTATTGTTGGGATTCCAGACTTTTTCATGGAATTGGAAATTTAGCCAATACAGCCTACGTAGGTTGCCATGTAATAACTAACTCTTTTGCTTGGTTATAGTAAGCCAAGCCACCTCAGACAGCTTTCACTTTTCTACTTTCCTTGTAGACATAAAAGTTATTTTGTTCTGAAAGCATAAGATAGCTTCCTGTAGAAAAGAATTTCCTACCTCTAAAAGCTGCCTTGAGAAATTGGAAGTGGCAGTTTTCTGAGGTGATTTTTAAATCTCAGTGTTAGGAGAGTCCGGGATTTATTGACAGGTTCTATAGTTAGCATGATAGGAAATGCAAAACTATCTTAATGTGGTGTGTCTCATGTAGAAGCAAGCTTAGGAAAATACACTGTTGTTCTACAGCAGTTCTCCAGGGACCCAGGTTTAGATTCTCATAGTGTACTTTAAGTAGTTGTATTCTTGACTCAAGTAGTTTAGTGCCTGTGAGAATCCATTTCTGAAAAGCATTTAAACATTTATTTTAAAATACCTCTGAAAAGGTAACGAATGCAAAATAGCACAGTATATAGGAAAGGATATTTCCTATTGCAAAAAAAAAAAAAAAAAAAAGCCATAAAACAAATTAACTTTCAAGAGGTAGAATTTTAGTAGCAATAATAGTTTTGGCATGTAAAAGTTGCATAAGCAAGGTTGTACGGTAGAATAAGTGTTACTAGAATTCGTGAGGCTTTGTGGTCAAGATTTGTACAAAAGGAAAAAAAGATGTTCTAGATAAAGATCAAGTAAAAGGTACTTTTTAAACTATGAATGTATATGAATATATCAGCAAGAAATAGCAACTGTTGTATAAGTTAAAGGTTAAAGACCCTATTTGTTTCCTAGAGCAGAGGTTTAGAGCTATTGAAGGAAATAATTCGAATGCTTAACCTGAAACAAATGACTCTTACTGATGAAGAAACCCTACTGAAGCCATCACGTGGGGATTTTGCTTATGATGTTTTTGTTGTTTTAGCATCAGGCTTATTTGCATACTTTTTGCTTTGTCACCTTATCTTTCTCCATCAATCTTCTGGGTGCATTTTTAAAAAGGAAACGTTTGTTGTGTGTATGTATTTAGGATTAAAAAAAAAAAAAGAACTTGTAGCTGGCTTTTCCTCATGCCTGTAATTTAGGGGAGTTAAGATTTAAAGGTGTAAAACAAAAGGATTGAAGGGAATAGCCAAAAACTGTTGGCTTTTTAAACCTTGTCTAATGTAGATGTTCTAGGCCCGTGGCCTGTGACTACTTATTTCAACAAGAACCCAGCAAACTAGTTTCTTGATCTGAGGAATCATACAGTTCACATCAGGATAAGAGTGGAATGAAGGTGACTTCTTACTCCCTTTTACCTCATGTCATCTTGGCCATTTAGCACATTGAGGATTCCTGAAAAGATGTGGTCTATGTTCCCTTGTTTTCCCTGGGGGGTGGTGTGGGGGGCACATACGACTAAAAGATAAGTGGAGAAGATCAACGAAAATAGTGCCTCTTGAATATTTAATCCTTTTTTTTAAATCCTCACCTGAGGACATTTTTTTCATTTTTGTTGAGATAAAGCGGGAGGGAGAGAGAGAGAGAGAAACATCAACATGAAAGGGACACATTGAGGGGTTGCCACCCCCACGACCCAACCAGGGCCGGGGACAAACTGCAACCGAGGTACGTGCCCTTAGCGGGAACCCAACCCAGGTCTCTCTGGACCGCAGGCCAATGCTCTAACCGCTGAGCCAAACCGGCCAGGGTCAATATTTAATTCTTATGTGGGCAACTCCAAAGAATAGGGAGTCTATGTTAAATTGATTATAACTCCTCTTTAAATGTCCTAGACCATCAGTTGGTGTTAGAGACATTGGGATAACCAAGCAATATTCAGACATCTGCATGACCATGAGGACACCAGGTGTATTACTGTGATGTCAACAGTTTAGAACAATTAAAGATCACCCTTAACAGCCACGTTAATAGTTCCAAATGCTAAAATGTGCTACAAGTTTTTGTAGTTTCCAAGTATGTGGTTAATTACTTTTCAGTGTTGTGGTCTCATGTTTACTCTCTGTGTACCTGTGATATGCAAAATATGAAGAGACCCTTGGCCTCCAGGAGTTTACATTATCATGGTGCTGCTGGTGCAAGCAAATTACTTCTAGTTTATTCAGAACATTGCTTGGCTATTAATCATACCATATTTGGAAGGATCCCATGACCAACAGTTTTCAAAAGCAGAGGGCTATGCTAAATTTCAGGGCATTGATTTTGAGTTTACATTGTATTAGCTCTGCTGTTCATAAACTCCTTTTCCCCTGGGAGCTGTGCAGGTAATGCTCTTAATGTGAATCAGAAAAGAAACCATTCTAAGAGCATCTTCACCACCCCTACACCACTATGCTCTATGCTACAGCAGTCAATAAATGGCCAAGAAAACTTACTGTTCCAGAAGACTGTGCATCTCTCAATTCTTTCTTTTCCCAGAGGCTTTACATCATTCTCTACCCAGAAGGACCAGGATTTGCAATTAAGCCTTTTATAACTGAATAGTGGTCCTAAATTTTAACTAGTGTTGTATGGCTTTTGTACCTGTATTCTGAAGCAGCATTGTGATAGGTGTGGAGCACCTCCCTGCATTTCTAAGCAATCACTTTATTAGCCCTTCTTTCTGGTTGAAACTGCATGTATCCTTGTTATTTTCTAATTCCTCTGAATCAAGGGGTTTACTCTGCATGTTTATTAAAACTGGGTCTGGATGAAAGTGAAAGCAATAGTGGCAGGCCCATAACTCTGATTTTAGAGTACTAATATTCTAGTGCATGGTTGAAAATGTCCAGTATTAAGTAGTTATTAGTAATTTTATATATACATATATATGCATTTATTAATGAAGCAATAGACTTAAACCAATAGCTCGAATTGTTTGGATTATTAGTTTTCATTTTCTAATTAAAGATGATCTTACTTCCATTGAAAATGGGAGCTAGAAGATAAACGGGGCAACCATATGACATTCAGACTGTCAGGAATAGAGTATAACCGTGCTCATCACCCTCTAACCTCTTGCCTGGTTCCATTAGTTCCCAAGCATGTTTAAAAACAATACAAAAGGCACAAACTAAGCATGTGAAATAAGTAAATAAGCTGCTAGGGCTATAATAATCAAAAAGGTGCAGAGTTTCAGAAAGGGTAGGAAAGTATGGAATACTAGTGTGGAGTATGTAAAATAATTAGGGGGTTTGTCAGATAAAGTTTATGTGGCTTAAATTTGCATCTCATAACTAGTATCTTGGAATTGAATAGAGGCAACTGCACATATTTCATATGTTTCAGGATTTTCAGAGAACTAGGCAGCTCTTCTGGGTGTTACACAAAGGATCCTGGCAGCAAAAAAAAACTGTTCCATTTTGTGGAAATAGCCCTGAAAAGATGCACAGACTTGTTTTTGTTGTTGTTTTTTTTTTTTTGTTACTGTATTAAGTTTTTTGTTATTTTGTTTTAATAGCCAGACTTTTATTCTTGGTGTTTTGGTCAGAGAGCATAATTTGTTGCCTAAATCTTTTGATGCCAGGTAAACATGAGCAAGTTTTCACATTTATATTTACTGTATGTAGTAGCTTAAATTTTTTTAGATGATTCCTGACTTTGGAATAATACTAAATCCAACTGATTATGATAAATAATATAAATGGAAGTAATTATATCTGAGAGAGCCCTAAACTGGATTTAGACTAGACACTTGACTGGGATTTTACTCTAGATACCTTTGGGAATGCTTAAGAGTAATGATCACTTCTCAGTATTTAGAATGGAATTAGACATAGTCATCGCAGTGTTTGGTTTCCACTCAAATACAGGAAGTGAAATGTCAAATCCCATGTGTAAATTTTCTCTTTGCCACTTACATGCCTGTCAACCAGTGAAACCAATGAAGATTTAAGGACAGGTTCTCTAAACTCATTATTCCACTAAGGCATATTAAAAGATATTAGAAAAACAAACATCACAGATTTCTCTAGGAACCCATACTCCTAAGCTTCCTTTTAAGTCAGAATAGATATTTTAGAGTTACTGAAAAATTTCAAAAGATTTTGTCTTCTGTGGTGGTGGTCTGTCATGCCATCGTTAAAATATATTTTTTCTCCCAGGGATAAGAAAGGTATTCTGGCAATACATTATCATTAGCCCTTAAACAACAGTAATCATCTTGGCGCTTACCTTAAAATTACCCATCACTTGTAATTTAGAAGATTCATATTAGATATCCCTCACATAGTTTTATTTACTGTCTGTCCTGTTAAGTACAGTTGTTGCTCACTTTTTATTGCTATTCTGCATCTTCTCCATTGCAACATTGGTATAGACCATAATGTTAAAGGAATTTCACTGATGTTTAAAGTATTATAAAAGGCAGCTTGCTTTTTAATCTATGCATCTTTGGGATTTTTACAAAAGTTTTATTCTTTGATGTAAAAAGGAACTGCTTTAAGAGTTGGAAACTCTGCACCTGTGTATATATATATATTTTTTGGCAATAAAGGAGCATGGGCTGAGAATGCACTGAAATGTCACTGTTGTTACTTGGAATGGATACTTTGTAATAATGCAGTAAGTTAGGAAGGTGAGAGTTTCCAGATACCTGCATCCCGGTTTCTGGTGTCTAAGGGAACAGACAGCTGTTGCCAGAGGCTTCTTCACCCTTGCTTACAGAACCAAAATTTGCAACTCAAAAGTATAAAGCAAATCATTGCAGTACAAAATGGAATCTGCTGGGGGGAAAATCTAGCTACATCTGAACCAAGTTAATTTCTCTATGCACCACAACTGACTATATCATTTTTTTTTTTTTTTTTTTTTAATCCTCACCCGAGGACATTTCTGCATTTTTTGTTCAGACAGAGCGGGAGGGAGAGAGAGGAAGAGAGAGAGAGAGAAACATCGATGTGAAGGGACACATCGAGTGGTTGGCACCCGCACGACCAACCAGGGCCGGGGACAAACTGCAACTGAGGTACGCGCCCTTAGTGGGAACTGAACCCGGGTCTCTCTGTACCGCAGGCCGACGCTCTAACCGCTGAGCCAAACCGGCCAGGGCTTTAAAGATTTTTTTAAAAATACGTTTTTCTTTTTTTAAGGGGGAGAAGAAGGGCCCTGGCTGATTTTGCTCAGTGGTTAGAGCGTTGGCCCGCAGACCGGAGCTCCCGGGTTCGGTTCCCACTAAGGGTGCACACCTCCGTTGCAGTGTCCCCAGTGCCGGTTGGGGTCATGTGGGTGGCATCCACTCGATGTGTCTCTCTCACATCTATGTTTCTCTCTCTTCCTCCTGCTCTATCTGAAGATAAATGCCAAAAAAAAGTGTCCTCAGGTGAGAATTAAAAAAAAAAGAGGAAGAGCCCTGGCCAGTTTGGCTCAGCGGTTAGAGCGTCGGCCTGCGGTCTGGAGAGACCCGGGTTTGGTTCCCGCTAAGGGCAGGTACTTCGGTTGCAGTTTGTCCCCGGCCCTGGTTGGTCGTGTGGGTGGCAGCCACTCGATGTGTCCCTTCACGTCGATGTTTCTCTCTCTCTCTCCCTCCTACTCTATCTGTACAAAAAATGGAAAAATATCCTCGGGTGAGGATAAAAAAAAAAAAAAAAAAGAGGAAGAAAGGAGAGAAACATCAATCGCTGTCTCCTGTACATCCCAAACTGGGGATCGAGCTTGCAACCCAGGCATGTACTCTGACTGGGAATTGAACTGGGACCTTTCAGTCCATGGGACGATGCTCAATCTACTGAGCCATGCTGACCAAGCTATATCATCTCCCCCCTTTTTTTTTTAATAACTAGTTTGCTTTATTCTGTGGTTCACACATGACAGCCCCAAATCCAACATTTAGATTTTTATCTTCTGAATTTGTTTTTTCAGATCTATGTCAACAGAGATAGTTTCTCCCAGTAGCATATGCAATCTGATCCTCATGTGGTGGGGAAACACAGACCCCCAAAGACCAAGGCTCTGCAGCAATGGAACCTGGGTCCTACCCCTTAGACTGCACCCATGTCTCTATCTGCTGGGGCTCTGCGCTGGTCCCATCACCCCGAGGTGTCCTTAGGCCAGGAATGCCAAACAGGTTCCATGTATGTTCCAACACTGAATAAACACTGGAGCCCAGGGGTGAGGGTAGTGAGGCAGGCCGTGTCTGGGTTCTATTACAAAGAACATAATGCTTGACTGGCATTGTCTGCCTGGCAACACCCACTTGACATGCCTGGAAAGGGAAGATTGGGCAAACAGGCTGCATGCCAGCCACCAGCTCAGCTCACAAAGGGGCAAGGCGTTTATTCCATCGTTGCCTTGGGTGGTTCTTCTCCCTGGCCAGGTGGCTGAGGAGGCAGTCTGAAGGCCACAATGCTGCAAGTGGCTCCCTTAGGCTCTAGATGGAACAGCATAAGTCCTAAGCTAGAGGGAGTTTGGAAGGGCAGCCTATGCCTACTAGGGCCTCATGGGGTCTGCGCGTTGCAGCTGCTTCTCCTTTCGCATCAGTTTCATCCAGGCAAAAATAGCTGGCTGGCTGTCAAAACGAGTTAGATGCAACTTGGGTATAAAAACACTTCCATGGCCACTTACAAAGAAATAACCTTAATCTCTGGATAAACTCAATTTCCAGTCCAAACTAAAAAGGTTCATCTTCAATGTGCTACCAAGAAACTGAAATAAAGTAAAAAGTTAATCTTTATTCAAGTTTCAGAATGAGAGCACACTGCTTTGAAAAGCAGGGTGTGTGTTAAAGGATGTTTCTAGAAAATACCAAAGGCACCAAACATAACTCCAACTTGGCCTTCCGTTTCCCCTTGGTGCCACTCCATACTCTGGCGGGGAGGCTACTTCATCCAGCTGACTTTGGGAATGTCCTAGTTTTCTGTGAGTGTATCCAGATGTCTGTTGAAGTCCTCTACTCTCTGCTTGTGGGTTCTGGAGGCTTTTTTCAGGATCCTTTCCATTTGCCGCTTCTGCATCTTCTCGAAGGCCGCCGGGCCAGGGTCTGTTTGTCCAGGCCACACCTCTTCTCCTTTTTGCTCGTTCCCATGTCTTCCAGTTTTGCCTTGTGTCTGTCCTTCTTCTCCATCTTCCTCTTTGTCATGCAGAGCTCCGCGAGGCTTTCAGGTTCAAGGCCCCTTCTGGACCTGCTCGTAGGCCACCATGGTGCCTGGCCGCAGGTCAGAAATAAATCTATATTATCTCAATTGTGCTAGCATTAGCCCCTCTTTAGTGGCAGGTTGCTACCCTCCCAACCATTCACCACAGGACAACCATAATGAGATTCAGAAAAAGAAAATTTGATCCTGTCATAGGCCTCCTTTAAAATTCTTCAAGGGTTTCCCATTGTTCTTGGGGTAAAAACAAACATCCTTCTGGAGTCCAGTAAGGCTTTGCACCTTCTGTTTCCTGGCCACCAGAACTCCAGCAGGCTTTCTTTTTTTAAAGATTTTTAATTGGTTTTTAGAGAGAAACATCAATGGAGAGCAAAACATCGATTGGCTGCCTCCTGCACGTCCCCAACTGGGGATGGAGCCCACAACCTGGGTATGTGCCCTGACTGGGAATAAACTGGCAATCTTTTTGTTTTTGTTTTTTTTTGCATATTTCTTCAGATAAAGCGGGAATGATTGAGGGAGAGAGAAACATCAATGTGAGAGAGACACATCGAGTGGTCGTCACCCACACGACCCCAACCAGGGTCGGGGACAAACTGCAACCGAGGTACGTGCCCTTAGTGGAAACTGAACCAGGGGCTCTCTGGTCCATGGGTTGATGCTCTAACCGCCAAGCCAAACTGGCCAGGGCCAACTGGCAATCTTCTGATGCATGGAGAACTCCCAACTGAGCCACACCGACCAGGGCTGCAGGCCTTTTAAGGGCCTCACGACCTTTACACAGGCTGTTCCCTCTACATTATTCACTCCCACTTACCTTACAGACCACTGCTGAAACTTCACTTCCTCAGACAGACCTTCCTTGACCCCCAGAACAGTTCAGTTACCTGCTACATGTGCTTGTAACTGTCATTTTTCTTCAAACTTTTACTACAGGTGCTATGTAAAGCAAAATACGAAAAAAAATTTTTTCAGTGAATGATGTTTTATTAGTCCTTTCTTTCATTATCTTATTAAGCTCAGTTTCCTACTGAAAAAAGAAAAATTATTTCATCCAATTTATGGAATATAACCTATAGAATATGTATGTAAATGTATTTTACATTTAAAAAATGATTCTTAGTATGAAACTGAGAAAATGACCCTCACCCAGGTCTAGCTGCCTGTTGCTTGGACTCCTGAGACAGGTGCTGATGAGATGAAAAGTGGTTTTTTTCCAGTTGCTGGCAACTCAAGAAGATGGGGGAATTTCTGTCCTCAAAACCCATCTTAAAATCTCAGTGCAGGCAGAGGATTTTACAAAGTGGGGCAGAGAAAGCACAACTAAGAGATTAGGGCGAGTGGCTGAGGACTTGCTGTCTCTCCTGGGAGTAAAGGGAGTGGGAACACGCTGCTTCTCATGAGAAAGGGAAGGGAGATTCATGGGGTGTTGCACAGCTTTCTCAAGCTTCCTCCACTCATTCAGATGCTCTCTGTGTATTTCCTGCTCACAGCTGGCCCCAGCAGCCCCCTCCTCTGAAACAGGCTGCTCTAAGCTATAATAATAATGAAAGCTAGATAAGAAGTGAAAACACAGGAATTTATTGACACATTTTAAGAAAACAGCTGACTAGCCTTGAGAAAATGCAGAGTATACAACCTTTATCACTTAATTGAAATGTGAAATCATGGTTACAAACTATTCATTATAACTGCTCCATGTAGGAATCACAGTAGTTAACATTAAGTACAACTTTATTTTCACATGCATCTTTAGATCAGAGCCTTCATGGCACATTGCCTCTTAATCCCTAAATGTGCAGTTAAAGATGTTTTCAGAAATCACTATGAAACTGATAAGAAAGCTAAAAATTTCTGAAGGCAAATAGCAATGATACCTGGACAGAAAGTTACTTAATTTCTCATCTTCTATAAACAGCTTCACAAATCAGATGGAAATCAGCATAGATGTTAAACATAATAAACTACATTTCCTGTCCATTTCTGAAGTTGATCTTTCTAAAGAAATGATCAAACAGCACATCTCTGAAGATGGCAGCAAGGCCTGATCCTGAATTTCAAGCTCTGGTTCTGGATCAGTTTTCTGGGTTGGAGTAGTCAGGAGTCAATTCCTTCAGCATCTTCATCAGTGAACTTAAATGAGTATGCATTATTATTATCTTCTCTTTCAGCTGGGAAGAGAAATATATACATATCAGAGCATCTTAACTCTGATTCGCTGGTTCTAGAAGTCACTTCAAATTCCAGCTAGTGACTGGAAACTGGCATTTCAACATTTCATAAATATATTTGTTCTGTTTCTGAAAAGTTTATGCTAGGGGCATAAACAAAGAGTACAATAAGATGCTCAGCTATAAAATTTCACATGAAAAAGACCAGTTAAATCAATGTTCTTTCTCATCCATGTTTCTAGCTCTCTCTCCCTCTCCCTTCCTCTCTATCAATAAAGGAAAAAAAACAAACCAGTCATTGCTGAGCTCCACTGCTTCTGTCTCCCTCCTTCGTACCTCTGTCACCAGGTTTAAAGTCCAAGAATTGGGAAGGAGGACAATAAAGTGGGCAAGAGAGACAGAAGCATCAACTAGTTTTCCTCTCTTTTTCTAGTGGCAAGAATATATCTTTTTTCTAACTCTGTTCATAGTAAAAAAAAAATGCCTTTAATATTCTACTAACAGTCTTCAGAGATGTTTGTTGCAATTTAATAATTTTCAAGTTCTTTCACGTTAGAATAGTTAAATCTAGAACCAAACTTAGTGGTGTTACTCAGCATACAGCATGTACTTAGACTAATAAACAAACAAAAATCTTATCTCCATAAATTGCACAGTACACTAAATCTACTTTTTATTATTCAAAATACAAAGTTGATTAGACAATTTTGCTTAAACAGTAATTCTAGGGCCTGTTAACCTTATTGGGGTGCTCTTGGATGTGATGAATCATTTTCCTTTGTCTATATTCCAACATTTTTACTATATGCTGAGGTCTATACCTCTCTGCACTTACCTTTGCTGAGCTTGTTGAGGTTAATGTTTTTCATCAAACCCGAAAAATTTTCAACCACATTTCCTGGATTTTTCTACTTCTTTCTCTCCTCTCTTTTTTGTATTCCCAATACCAAAGCATATTTAGGCGTGCCTGATGTATCCAGCAGGTCTCTTGGACTCAGTTCATCCCCCACCCCCTTCTCTTCAGACTGCATAATGTCATCAATCTATATCTCCAAGTTTTGCTTATTCTTTCTTTGACCAGTTCAAATCTGTTGAGCCCTTCTAATGTATCTTTCATTTCAGTTATTGTATTTTTCAACTCACAGGATTTTTATTTGTATTTTTTTTTGATACATGCCCCTAGCGGGAACCGAACCCAGGACTCTCTGGTCCGCAGGCCAACGCTCCAACCAAGGCTCCAACCGCTGAGCCAAACTGGCCAGGACAGGCTAGGCTATTTTATCGATGCCAGTTTTCCTCAGTGTGCAGCCTCTGGTTGCTCCTCAGATGACAGCCTTGGGCATGGGCTGGTTTTAGCAGGGCTCTTTGTCTCTTTCTCTGATCCCTCTATAGGCAGTCAGCCTCCATTAGAATCACACCCAGCTGTTAGCCTCCACTAACTGCTTGATTGCTCTATTGTTTTTTGACAATGCCCTGGGCCATAAATTGCTCCACAGTCTAATCCAATCAAACCAGACACTTTGTAGGGATAGTCTTTAGTCAAGCCAGTCCTTTTTTGTTTTGTTTTTCCTTTTTTGTTTTGTTTTTTTAATCCTCACCTGAGAATATTTCCTCAAATATCTTCAGATAGAGTGGGAGGGAGGAGGAGAGAGGAAGAGAGAGAGAGAAAGAAAGATCAACTGGCTCCTTCTCATACAACCCCGACCAAGGCCACGGATGAACTGCAATTAAGGTACATGCCCTTGGCTGGAATCGAACCTGTGATGCTTTGGTCCATAGGCTGACGCTCTTACCACTGAGATTACTGGCCAGGGCAAAGCCAGTCCCTTTTTGTTCCAACTCCAGGACTGTTCTTAGCTATTTCCCTGATTTTGTCATAAACTAGTATAAGGTTTAGCTTGTTCTCATGGAACTACCAGCTTCCTTTTAATTGCTTACCACCAAAATCTCCATTGTTTTGGCAGTACCCTTAGACTTGAACATGCCAACACACTGTTTCAAAGGATAGTCAGTTCCTCCCAAACAAGAAAAAGCTAAAGGAGTTCATCACCACCAAACCATTATTATAAGAAATGTAAAAGGGACTTCTTTAAGGGGAAAAAGAAAAATCAATAATAAAATGGCAACTGGCTGGTTAGCTCAGTTGGTTAGAGCGTGGTGTTAATAATAAAATGGCACCTATCAATAATTACTTCAAATGTAAATGGTTAAATGCTCCAATCAAAAGACAGAGTGGCTGAATGGGTAAGAAAACCCACCCTGGCCAATGGCTCAGTTGTTTGGAGTATTGTCCCCTGCACCAACAGATGATGAGTTCCATTCCTGGTCAGGGCACATACCCAGGTTGCAGGTTCAATCACAGGTCCCAGTTCCTAAGGGAGGCAACCGATTGATGTGTCTCTCAAACACTGATATTTCTCTCTCTCGCTCAAATCAATAAAAACATATCCTCGGGTGAAGATTAAAAAATAAATTTAAACAAAAATGGTTGGTCACCACGGCCCATGTGGCATAGTTGTTTCAAGCATCTTCCCGTGCATCAGAAGGTCGCAGGTTCGATTCCCAGTCAGGGCATGTACAGTATCTGGGTTGCAGACTTAAACACCAGTCAGGATGCGTGTGGGAGGCAGCCAATCAATGTGTCTCTCAAACATCAAGGTCTCAATGTCTTTGTCTCTCTCCTTTCCTGACTCAGTAGGGAAAAAAAATCAATTGAAAAAGCTGTTGGGAGTATCCCATCATTTCACCGCTCCCAAGTTCATTGGTACAAATGATCAAGAGTAGTCTAGATTAAAGGAAACACAACAATCATGAAATGTTACCTCTGCGACTTTTTCTGGAAGAGGCATGTAATGAATATCCATCTCAGATGCATTTACGATGGCTTTTGTTTTTAAGATATAGCTAGATAGGAAACAGAGAAAATATTAGAACTATACCAGTTAAGATTATGAATGAACCAAACAAACTTGCGCTCTAAAGCAGTATCTGTCAAGCAAAGACTGCCTTCTTATTGATTTCCATTTCAAGACTCATAATATATTTGGTAGGAAAAACAAATTCTCAATTAACAACTCATCAGAGAGACTCAGTTCCTCATCCCACCCCTTGCCAACCAGGAATATATGAGACAAAATTAACCTAGGAGAAACTAGACATAAACCAGGGACATATGAATAACTGTGATAAGTATAAGCTTCACACTCCACCAGCAAGTCCTATGGCAGTTAGAAGAAAATTAACCACATTATGACAAATAACTGTTGGATGCATGCCCAGAAGCCATTCCTATTCTTTGTTGTTAACAGAACCAAGATTTTGTATATGGTAGAAGTATACCTAGTCCTAGGAGATGAACCATAACTATTCTAAGTCAACTGTGGCACTCTTTTATTTTTTTTTTTCTGTATTGATTTTGAGAGAGGGAGGAAGGAAAAGGGAGAGAGAGATAGAAACATCAATGAGAGAGAACATCAACTGACCACCTCCCGCATGCCCCCCACTGGGGATCGGCCCACAACCTGGGCATGTGCCCTGACCAGAATCAAACCGGTGACCTCTTGGTGCATGGGTTGACACTCAACCACTGAGCCACACTGGCCAGGCAACTATGGCAATCTTATTCCCTATTGTCATATACTTGCTTTCCTAGCTGAGGTGATCATGTGACATAGTTCTGGCCAATAATTTATTATTTTGCTGATAAAAGACCATTCCCTATATTTCCATACTTCCCATACCCTTTTCCTTCGAGGTAGGAATGCTACTACTATGGATATAATGCTTATAGTTGCAGCAGCCACCTTGCATCCAAAAGGAAAAGGCCATGAGAACTAGAGATGATGACCCAGAGCCCTGTCATAGCTGAACTACTAGAAAATTCCAGGAGTGGCCAACTGCCCCTCCCCTTACTTGTTAAAGCCACTGTAGTCAGGTTTTCTATGACTGGCAACCAAATTCATTCTGATTCAAAGGTATAGATTTATTATCTTTCCAAACTTATACTACCTAAACTTTCCTAATTTCTACTTAGCGGGAACCGAACCCGGGTCTCTCTGTACCGCAGGCCGACGCTCCAACCGCTGAGCCAAGCCGGCCAGGGCCCTAATTTCTACTTAATCAGAAAGAATATACTGACCTTTGAGTCCAACTCATTCTAAAGATTAAGAAATTATTTAGAATTCCATAATGCTTTTCAAATTTATATTAAAATTTTGTTACTAAAAGTTTACTTCCCCTAAGTAAAACTCAGTGACAGCTCTGCTGACATAATTACTTACAGCTATTTATAAAAAATAAGAGGTTAGCTCTGGCCAGTTTGCCTCAGCGGTTGGAGCATCAGCCTGTGGACCAATGAGTTGAGGGTTCGATTTTGGTCAAGGGCATGTACCTTGATTGCAGTTTGTCCCTAGCCCTGGCTGGGGTAGTGCAGGAGGCAGCCAGTTGATGTCTCTCTCTCTCTCTCTCTCTCTCTCCCCTCCCTCTCTCTTCCCCTCCCTCCAACTCTGTCTGAAAATAAGTGGAAAAATATCCTCAGGTGAGGGTTAAAAATAAATAAATAAAATAAGAGGTTACTACTAGCACATAATTAGAGATAGTTTTATTCCCTGTTTAAACTTAATTCTAGGACTTCCAGTCAAGATGGCATCGTAGGTAAACGGGTATCGCATCCTCCCACAACCACATCAAAGTTACAACTAAACTACACAACAACCATCATTCAAAACCGCCTGAAATCAAACTGAATGGAAGTCCTACAACTACCAAATTAAAGGAGCAGCCACATCGAGACTGTTAGGAAGGGTGGAGGCGCAACAGGCTGGTCCCACACCCACGTTTGGTGGATAAAAATCAGGAGGCTACCTCAGCTGTGAAGGTCCTCCCTGAGGACTGAGGGGTCCCCGTCCCACACGAGGCACCCAGCTCAGGGTTCCAGTGCCAGAAGTCCCCATAACTTTTGGCTGGAAAAACCAGCAGAAACTGAGGCTGAGGGAGGCTGAGGGAGGCTGAGGCAGCTGGAGCCCCAGGCAGCTCCTCTTAAAGGGCCTGCGCACAGACTCATTCGGACTCGCACCCTCCAGGCTCCAGCATGGAGGAGGCAGCTTGAAAGGCACCAGAGACATATGGGGAAGAACTGAGTTGTTTGGCATTGGAGCGAGGACTGGAGAGGCAGGCGGATTTCTCCTGGACAGACATGCTGTCAGAGGCCTTTGTTCCTTTGGTGAGCCCTTTCCTGGGGCAGCAGACAGCCGCCATATCTGGGATTCCAGCAACCTAGTTCACACTGTTTGCTCCGCCCTGGTGATTCCCTAAGGCCTTGCCCCATCCAACTGTCAGGCCCACCCAAGCTGTTGCCAGTTGCTTTACTATAGGATTGGTCTCTCTTGGATCCTGCTTCAGGTTTTCCCGAATTCTTTCAAACAAGCAGCATCTGGTCTCAACTAGCCCCATATCTCTCATTAATACATAGAAACAAACACAGGGAGGCAGCCAAAATGAGGAGACAAAGAAACAGGTCCCAAATGAAAGAACAGAACAAAACCCCAGGAAAAGAACTAAGCGAAATGGAGATAAGCAACCTAACAGATGCTGAATTCAAAATAATGCTTATAAGGATGCTCAATGAACTTAGTGAGGGTCTCAAGAGTAAAAAAGGAGCAGTCAGAAATGAAGGATGCACAGTCAGAAATGAAGGAGGCATTAACTGAAATAAAGAATAATTTACACAGAGTCAATAGTAGAGTAGGTAAAGCCAAGAAGCAAACCATCGATTTGGAATATAAGGAAGCAAAAAACACCCAATCAGAAAAGCAAAAATAAAAAAAAGTGAGGATAGTGTAAGGAGCCTCTGGGATAACTTCAAGCGTGCCGACATTCGCATCTTGGGGGTGCCAGAAGGAGAAGAGAGAGAACGAAAAATTGAAAATTTATTTGAAACAATAATGGCAGAAAACTTCCCTAATTTGGTGAAGGAAACAAACATACAAGTCCAGGAAGCACAGAGAGTCCCAAACAAGATGAATCCCAAGAGGCCCACACCAAGACACATCATCATCAAAATGCAAAAGGTTCAAGACAAAGAGAGAATCTTAAAAGCAGCAAGAGAAAAGCAGTTAGTTACCTACAAGGGAGTTCCCATAAGGCTGTCAGCTGATTTCTCAAGAGAAACTTTGCAGGCCAGAAGGGAGTGGCAAGAAATATTCAGAGTGATGAAAAGCAAGAACCTACAACTAAGATTACACTATCCTGCAAAGCTGTCATTTAGAATCGATGGCCATATAAATAGTTTCCCAGACAAGGAAAAGCTATAGGAGTTCATCACCACCAAACCAGTATTATATGAAATGTTGAAGGGTCTTCTTGAAGAAAAAGATAAAAAATATGAATATACAAAATGGCAATGAATACATATCTATTGACAATAGAATCTACAAACAAAATGAACAGGCAGAACAGAAGCATTCTCATAGATATAGAGAACATTTTGTTGGTTGCCAGATGGGAGGGGGGATGGGGAAATGGGTGAAAAAGGTAAAGGTATTAAGAAGTACAAATTGGTTGTTAGACTGACAAACCTCAAAGGGAAGGGAGCGTGGGGGGTGGGAAGAGATAAACCAAAGAACTTATATGTATATATGCATAACCAATGTACACAGACAACAGTGTGGGGAAAGCCAGGAGGGGGTAGGGAGTGGGGAAGAGGGCATCAATAGGGGGAAAATGAGGAACATCTGTAATACATTCAACAATAAAGATAAATTAATAAAAAACAATTCTAAATAGAAATTATGTAAGAAGAAAGAAGAAATTTAAGTATGTCTCAAGTATATGTTTCCTTTTGAAAATCTGCATTGAAGAACAAATGATATACCTAATGCAAATTGACCAACCTCATGGTAAAGATGGGCTTTGTTTATGAGTTTATTGCCTAGTCATCCATAACTCAGCTAGAAATACCTATTTAAGCATATTAAATGAGAAAAAGGAAACTATGTTTATGAAAAGAAAATAAGCTTTGGAGTTAAGACATGGATTCAAATCTCAGCTGCTCTACCTCTTTGAGGCCGTTTTTTTATATTACAAAATTAGTGAAGTAAACATAATGTCTGGCACAAACTAGGTCATCAGTGGCAGTTTTTGTTTTTCGGATCAAGAAAAGACATTTTACTGATTTTGAGAGAGAGAGAGAGAAACATCAATTTGTTGTTCCACCTATTTATGCATTCATTGGCTGATTCTTGTATGTGCCCTGACTAGGGATTGACCAACTGAGCTACCCAGCCAGGGCAAGAAAGACTTTGATGGATGTTTCAGTGGCTTGTAATAAAAAAGCTTAACTAATAAGTAAATTTATTAGGAGGATAAAGAATTCAAAGTCATTCATGAGGAGGGTACTTATTCAGACTCTGAGGCCACATGTCATTTTTCATTTTTCTTTGTGTATCTGCTTTGTATCTTTTGCTGCAGACAAGATTTCTCTGTACCTACACGCATAATGTAGAAAACAGCTATCCTAAACTAGAGCTTTCACTTCCCAGCTTTAGCAACAGTCCCACCTGCAAATGACCAATGTCTCTGCGTCCTTATTTCAAATACCTTGGGTAGAAAGCATCACTGGTTGGCTTAGCTTAGGTCAAGTATCCATTCTTGATCCCATCACCTGGGAGTGGTATCACACATTATTTTACAAAAGCTTACTTCCAAAAGTTTCTGTAATTAAAGAATATTTTCTCTATTCCATCATATTATTATTAAGACTGGCATGATTAGAAGACATCTAAAATGACTATGTATGTATTTTTGGGTTGATCTTAGAGAGAGAGAGAGAAAGGGAGGGAGAGAGAGAGAGTGAGAGAAACACTGATGTGAGAAACATTGATCAGTTGTCACCCATAAGCACCCTGCCCGGGGATTAAACCTGCAACCTGGCTATGTGCCCTGAACAGGAATCGCACCCTCCACCTTTTGGTGTACAGGATGACACTCCATTGACTGAGCCACATAGGCCAGGACTTTTTATTTATTTATTGAAACTGATGGTAGAGAGCCCAGCTGATGTGGCTCAGTGGTTGAGTGTTAACCAATCGACCAAGAGATAACGGGTTTGATTCCCAGTTGGAGCACATGCCAGAGTTGTGGGCTCAATCCCCATTAGGGGTGTGCAGGAGGCAGCTAATCAATGTGTCTCTCTCATTGATGCTTCTCTCTCTCTCTCTCCCCCTTCCTGTCTCTCTAAAAATCTATAAAAACATATTTTTAAAAAATTAATAAACACATAAATAAAATTGATAGTAGAGAGAAGAAGAGAGGGACAGAGGGAGTTAAAATGACTATATTTTTATATATATATATTTATTCTCACCCAAGGACATTTTTTGCATTTATCTGCTGATACAGCCAGAGAGAGAGAGGAAGGAAGAGAAAGAGAAACATCGATGTGAAAGAGACACATCAAGTGGCTATATCCACTCAACCCCAACCAGGGTTGGGAACAAACTGCAACCTAGGCATGTGCCCTTAGCGGGAACCGAACCCAGTCCTCTCTGGTCTGTAAGCCAGTGCTCTAACCACTGAACCAAACCAGCCAGGGCAAAATGACTATATTTTGATCCCACTACCATCTGTTTTGTAAGAGACAGTGACTGACTTTAGCGTCTTCTTTGGTATGAACATTCTGCCTTTTTTGAAAGATCTTTTAAAATTTATTTGATAACCCTGGCCGGTTTGGCTCAGCGATTAAAGTGTCAGTCGGTGGACCAATGAGTCGTGGGTTCGATTCTGGTCAAGGGTACATAACTCGGTTGTAATTCATCCCTGGCCCTGGTTGGGTTGTGCAGGAGGCAGCCACTCATTGTGTCCCTTTCACGTCGATGTTTCTCTCTCTCTCTCTGTTCCTCTCTCTCCCTCCCAGTCTACCTGAACAAAAAATGAAAGAGTATCCTCAGGCGAGGATAAAACAAAGAATAGGTAAGTCTGCCTGGGTTGGTTTGGCTCGGCGGTCAGAGGGTAAGACCTCAGACCAAAGAATTGAAGGTTCCATTCCAGTTAAGAGCATGTACCTTGGTTGTGGTTTGGTCCCCGGGCCCTGGTCGGGGTCGTGTGGGAGGCAACCAAACCAAGTGTCTCTTTCACATCGATCTCCCTCTCTCTCTCTCCCCCACTCTATCTGAAGATAAATGGAAAAATATCCTCGAATGAGGATTAAAAAAAAAAAAAAAAGAATAGCTGCCCGGCTGGTGTGGCTCAGTGGTTGAGCATCAACCCATGTATCAAGAGATTGCCAGTTTGATTCCCGGTCAGGGCACATGCCCAGGTTGTGGGCCCAATTCCCAGTGAGGGGCATATAGAAGGAGGCCAATCGATGTTCTTTCTCATCGATGTATCTCTCTCTCACTCCCTCTCCCTTCCTCTCTCTGTAAAAGCAATAAAGAAAAAAGAATTTAAAAAAAGAATAGCTAAGTCACCCTGGCCAGTGTGGCTCAGATGGGTTTTGTCCTGTGTACCAAAGGCTTTCCAGTTGGATTCCCCATGAGGGCATAAGTCTAGGGTTATAGGCTCAATCACCGGTAGGGGGAGTACATGAGGCAGCCGACTGATGCTTGGATCTCACATCAATGTTTCTCTCTCTCTCTCTAAAACTCAAAAAAAATTTTTTTCAAAAAACACACACTATCAATCTCACCCTGGCCAGTTTGGCTTAAAATGTTGACCCTCAGACCAAAGGGTCTTGGCTTAGATTCCCGGTCAAGGGCACATACCTGGGTTGTAGGTTCGATCTCCAGCCCCAGTCTGGGTTGTGTGGGAGGCAACCAATCGATGTGTGTCTCTCACATCGATGTTTCTTTCTCTGTCTCTCCCTCCTTTTTTCCCTCCCATTCTATCTAAAAATCAATGGAAAAATATCCTGAGGTGAGAATTAACCCCCACCGCCAAAAAAGACTAAGTTGACTCACCACACCATTTTATCACTGGAAAGGCAGAAATGACCTTTCAAGGCAGCCAGGGCAGCATGAGTAGAATACAGATGGAAACCAATGGGAATCCCACAGGAACCACAGAATAAAAGGTTGTAGGTGCTGCGGAGAAAAAAAAACAATATGGATAAGAAAGAAAATTTGAGAACAAATACAAAATAACCAGTGTCTGGAAGTATTCCTAAAAACTATACTTTAACAGGAACGTCACATTAAAGAAAGGTTAACTCACATCTTAATATAATTACACCCTAGCACTGGCCGGTTTGGCTCAGCGGTGGAGTACTGACCCATGCACCAAGAGGTCAACAGTTTGAATCCTGGTCAGAGCACATGCCCAAGTTGTGGGCCCAATCCCCAGTGGGGAGCATGCAGGAGGCAGCCAATTGATGTTCTCTCTCATCAATGTTTCTATCTCTCTCTCCCTCTCCCTTCCTCTCTCTTTCTAAAAATCAGTAAGGAAAAAAATATCAATAAATAAAAAATTTTTTTAAAGAAAACAAAAACAAAAACATCCAGTAGCCTGGCCAGTGTGTCTCAGTGGTTAAGCATCGACCCATGCAGCAAGAGGTTGCTGGTTAAATTCCTGGCCAGGGCACATGCCCAAGTTTCAGACTAGATCTCCAGTGGGGGGCGTGCAAGAGACAGTCAATAGATGTTCTCTCTCATGGATGTTTCTATTCCCTGAAATCAATAAAAAAAAAAAATTTTTTTTAATAAAACAAATAAAGAAAAAAAAAAAGTCCTGTAATCACTTAGACTCATATTGTAAAATCTTTCCTGTACCAAGAATCCACACACTACCAGCGGTCCCTAGGCAGACCCACTCAGGGCCAGGTCCCCTACTTGGACTAGAATTAAACCAATGGCTCTCGCTTGCCAACTATAGCTCTTAAGGCTTCTCATGCTCCATAATTACATAAGCCAAGTCCCATGGCTCCCTTATTCCAAAATTACCCAAAAACATGGTTCTTTCCCTCCAGAGTTTTATAAGCCATCTAAATTAGTACTGTTCAATAGAAATATGTGAGCCACATATACAATTTTAAATTCTTAGTCTTGTTAAAAAAAATGTAAAGAAACAGGTGAAATTAGTAATATATTTTATGCTATCCAATATATAAAAATTATAATTTGAGCCCTGGCCGGTTTGACTCAGTGGTTAGAGCGTCAGCTCGCGGACCAATGAGTCGGGGGTTCCATTCCAGTCAAGGGCACATAGCTCAGTTGCGGTTTATCCCCAGCCCCGGTCAGTAGTGCTAGAGGCAGCCAGTCGATGTCTCTCTCTCACATTGATGTTTCTCTCTTTCCCTCTCTCTCCCTCCCTCCCCCTCTAGCCAATGAACCCTAAAACTGAATCAAACTGGTCAGAATGAATTGTCTTGCTGTTAAAGCCAATACTCAAAATTGAGGAGCCTTGTAATACTAAATTCACTGAATACTCTTTTGTTACTTGTAAATCAAAGTACAGGCAAGATGCAAAGTTTACTAGGCAGTATAACAGTAACCCTTATCCTCAATGGAGGATACATTCCAACACCCCCTGTGGGTGCCTGAAACCATGGATCGCACTGAACCCTATATATATTATGTTTATTCCTATATTTTCATACACTTTATGGCTTCTCTTTGACATATCTGAATAGCCAGCATCACTACCCTTGCACTCTGGGGCCATTATTAAGTAATAAAGGTTACTTGAACACAAGCACCGACACCGCAACAGCTGATCTGATAATCAAGCCAGCCAGTAAATAACTACCAATGAGTTGGTATATACAGCACAGATACACTGCACAAAGGGCAGGACATTGTGAGATTTCACCATGCTATTCAGAATGATGCACAATTTAAAACATAGTTTATTTCTGGAACTTATCATTTACTATTTTCAAACTGTGCTTGACTGCGGGTAACTGAAACTGTGGAAAGTGAAACCTAGGATAAGGAGGACAGACTACTGTATTCACTTATATAACATTCAATCCCTCCCCCGCTTCCTGCATTACAGCAGAATTAGTCCTGCCATTGATTATTACAAACCAAGTAAAATGCAAACTTAAAAGACCTAGTTATCTCAAAAGATTGTGGTTTCTAGTAAGTTATCCTCAAGACACACCAAAATATAATTTTTTCCCTTTTCCTCTACTAGATACATATACCTTTCTTAGCTTCACTTGCACAAGCCACTAGGGATATGTGGTCCTCAGAAAGACCTTAAAATCTACACACAAATACAACTTTTCCATTCATCATTATGCATCAAGTTCCTAGAAGGCTGAAACAAGGCGCATATTTTCAATACACTTTATGGATGGAATCAACTTTTCCTCCAGCGCAAGATCGCTTCTTATTATCACTGTCAGGGACTGGAGACCGATCAGGAATCTCAGTACGTACCTGCCTTTGAGTAAACCTTCAATGCCAACTAGGAAGGGAGCTTCCAAAACCACGTTATTTGTAACCCCTATGAAGGAAAAAAAAAAAAGGCGGGTCAGGACGAGTACCTGTTAGGCCTTGAAAGGAAAAAAACTACCAGCTAGCTCCAGACGGGCTCATCATGTCCACAAAAATCAAAAGTTGCCCCCATCCTTGGCAAAAGGTTCATTTCCAGATCTTAATCCCGTTTTCTTCCCCAACCGGCTCTCTGCCACCCCTTCTCCGCCTTCCCCAGACGACACCCGCACTCACTGGAGAAGACAACGGCTCCGAGGGACCGCGAGAGGTCCCACGCGAGGTGCACCGAGTCGGCGAGCACGGCGTGGCAATGCGCGCACTGGAACACGACGCACCTCTCGGGCTGCAGCCAGGACGGCAGCCGCGGGCCGGATGACGGCTCCTCTGTCCCCAGCCCTGCGGGGCCTAGCGGAGAGGACCCCTTCACCACCTGCGTGTCCCACTCCATGGAAGTCGTAAAAGAAGGTTCGTCAGTTGTCTTAGTGCCATGACAAAAGCCACCCTTCCACAGCTTTGTATCACCAGAACGACGCCGCCTTGGCCGAGCAGCCATCTTCCTGCAGCCGCCGCCAGGATTTCGAACACGCACCAGGCTCCGCCCCAAACACGGGTCCTGCGTCTTCATTGGACACCGTGAGCCCGGGGCCCTGCAGCGCACTCATTGCCTGGACACGCCCTTCGGCTCCGCAGCCTTAGTGAGGGGTGTGATAGAACGTGCGTTTGATTAGGGGCATCAGCCTTCCTATTGGTCAATGCCAGAAAACCCCGCCCACAAGACAGTTTTAACCAATGGAAGTGCAGTATTTTTTTATTTAAATTGTCTATAAAGCTTGGCTTGGTCAACGCTCACAGTGGCGCCAGAGTTTTGAACCGCTCGGCGGAGGTTGAAAGGTACTTTGCCTGGTTGCCTGAATTGCAGATCGTGATGACCGTCCCTTCCCTGGAGGAGCTGGACTCCTTCAAGTACAGTGACCTGCAGAACTTGGCCAAGAGTCTGGGCCTTCGGGCTAACTTGAGGGTACGGAGCCGGTGGCGCAGAACGGGAGCGGTTGGGGTAGGCTGAGCGGCCTTAGGGAGAGGCAGTGGAGGTGTGGGGGGTAGATATGGTTCGCGAGTATCTCTTCAACTCTGCCTGACTTTTCTGGGGCTCCCATAGGTCTCGGCTTCAAAAGGGTTTGTTTGCTTTGGTTTTATTGAAAGTATCTGTGATACACTGAGACGTGTTCTTAGAGCTTTTAATTGGTTTAAACAAAATAACCAGTGCCCAGGTGTCTGGGGCTGAATGATAAAGCAGTGTCTTTGGAGATATTTCTGAGCTTTGATGTTTATTTTTATTATCATTTTTAAAAATATTCTTTTTACTTTATTGACTTTAGAGAGAGAGGGAGGGACAGGAAGAGAGAGATAGAAACATTGATGAGAGACAACATCGATTGGCCTCCTCCTGCATGCCCCCCACTGGGGATTTGGCCTACAACCTGGGCATGTGCCCTGACTTGGAATCAACCCGGTGACCTTTTGGTACTTGGGATTGACATTCAGCCACTTAGCCACACCTGCCGGGCTGAGCTTTGATGTTCAGTGGTTCCCCAGTACTTACTTCATAACCAAAATCTAGTCCCTTAGCTTAAATCCCTTAGGCTTTTTCCAATCTGGCTAGAATTTTTTATACAAGACTGCATCCAAACTGGACTGGTCCCTGAACACTTGGTGCCTTTGCTAATTTTGCTCCTTTGGCCCCAGATCTCCTTCTCCCTCTGTCTATATCTGCATGAATAATTTCCAATCATTCCTTTTTTTCTTTGTATTGAATTTATTGGTGTGACATTGATTGATAAAATTATATAGGTTTCAAGTGTACAGTTCTAGAATACATCATTTGTATATTGTATTGTGTGTTCACCACCTCAAATCAAGTCTGCTTCCATCACCATTTATCCTCCCATACCCTCTTCTATCTCCCCTCCCCTTTCCCTCTGGTAATCACCATAATGTTGTCTGTATCTATGAATTTTGTTTTGTTTTTTGCTTAATCCCTTCACCTTTTCACCCAGCCCTCCAATTCCCCTTCTCTCTGTCACAGGAAGCCTGAACTGTCATAACTGACCTGCTGCCCTGTCAGCTCCTCTTCATTTTCTTAGCCACAGGTCCACTACCCCAGTAATCCCAGGAACCCTCTGTGCTTTTAAACAGTTTAATTTCAAGTACTGTATCAAGTACTGCATTTGAAATTTTCCTTAATTATTTATTTATTTATTTATTATTATTTTTTTTTAATCCTCACCCGAGGACATTTTTCCATTTTTTGTTCAGGTAGAGTGGGAGGGAGAGAGAGGAACAGAGAGAGAGAAACATCGATGTGAAGGGACACATCAAGTGGTTGCCACCCGCACAACCGACCAGGGCCGGGGACAAACTGCAACCGAGGTACGTGCCCTTAGCGGGAACCGAACCCGGGTCTCTCAGGACCGCAGGCCGACGCTCTAACCGCTGAGCCAAACCGGCCAGGGCGAAATTTTCCTTAATTAAAATTTTAAAAATTATTTACAGTTGGTACAGCCCAGCAGCTCATGAAATCAATTGCCTTTTTTTTTTTTTTTAATCCTCACCCGAGGACATTTTTTTGATATTTTGTTCAGATACAGTGGGAGGGAGAGAGAGAGAAAGAAACATCGACGTGAAAGGGACACATCAAGTGGTTGCCACCCACACGACCCAACCGGGGCCGGGGACAAACTGCAACTGAGGTACATGCCCTTAGCGGGAACTGAACCCAGGTCTCTCCGGACCGCAGGCCAACTCTCTAACTGCTGAGCCAAACTGGCCAGGGCATCAATTGCATTTCTGTAGTTGTTGTTGTTGTTAACTTATTTATTTTATTTTATTTTTTGTGGTACATGCTTCTAGCAGAAGTCGAACCCAGGACTCTCTGGTTCTCAGGCTGACACTCAACTGCTGAGCCAAACTGGCCAGGGCATTGTTAACTTATTTTTATTGTTGAATGTATTACAGATGTTCTTCCTTTTTCCCCTATTAACCTCCTCCTTCCCGCTCCTGCCCCAGTCCTGCCTTTCCCTACACTGTTGTCTGTGTCCATTGGTTATGCATATATGCATGTAAGTTCTTTGGATTATTTCTTCCCACCCCTTCACTCCCCTTTCCTTTGAGGTTTATCAGTCTAACAACCAATTTTTACTTCTTAATCCCTTCACCTTTTTCACCCATTCCCCCACCCCACTCCCATCTGGCAGCCAACAAAATGTTCTCTAAATCTATGAGAATGTTTCTGTTCTGTTTGTTCCTTTTGTTTGTAGATTCAATTGTTGATAGATATGTATTTATTACCATTTTTGTTTGTTCATATTTTTTTATCTCTTTTTCTTCAAGAAGAGCCTTCAACATTTCATATAATACTGGTTTGGTGGTGATGAACTCCTTTAGCTTTTTCTCGTCTGAGAAACTCTTTATATGTCCATCAATTCTAAATGATAGCTTTGCAGGATAGTGTCTTGGTTATAGGTTCTTGCTTTTCATCACTCTGAATATGTCTTGCCACTCCCTTCTGGCCTGCAAAGTTTCTTTTGAGAAATCAGCTGACAATCTTATGGGAGCTCCTTTGTAGGTAACTAACTGCTTTTCTCTTGCTGCTTTTAAGATTCTCTCTTTGTCCCTGGCCGGTTTGCTCAGCAGTTAGAGCATCGGCCTGTGGTCCAGAGAGACCCGGGTTCAGTTCCCGCTAGGGGCACATACCTCAGTTGCAGTTTTTCCCTGGCCCTGGTTGGGTCCTGCAGGTGGCAGCCACTTGATGTGTCCCTTTCACATCAATGTTTCTCTCTCTCTCTCTCTCTTCCTCTCCCTCCCACTCTATCTGAACAAAAAATGGAAAAAATGTCCTCGAGTGAGGATAAAAAAAAAAAGATTCTCTCTTTGTCTTTAACCTTTTGCATTTTTATTATTATGTGTCTTGGTGTGAGCCTCTTGGGGTTCATCTTGTTTGGGAATCTCTGTGCTTCCTGGACTTGTGTGTCTGTTTCCTTCACCAAGTTAGGGAATTTTTCTGTCATTGTTTCAAATAGGTTTTCAATTTCTTGCTCTCTCTCTTCTCCTCCTGGCACCCCCATGATGTGAATGTTGGTACACTTGAAGTTGTCCCTGAGGCTCCTTACACTATCCTCATTTCTTTGGATTCTTTTTTCTTTTTGCTGTTCTGATTGGGTGTATTTTGCTTCTTTATATTCCAAATTGATGGTTTGTCTCTTGTCTTTACCTACTCTAGTATTGATCTCTGTAAATTATTCTTTCTTTTTTTTTATTTTTTTATCCTCACCTGAGGACATTTTTTGCATTTATCTTCAGATAGAGAGGGAGGGAGAGAGGAGTGAAGAAAGAGAGAGAAACATCGATGTGAGAGAGACACACTGACTGGTTGCCACCTACATAACCCCAATGGGAGCTGGGGACAAACTGCAACCGAGGTACGTGCCCTTAGCGGGAACTGAACCAAGGACTCTTGGGTCTGCTGGCCGATGCTCTAACCACTGAGCCAAACTGACCAGGGCTATAAATTATGCTTTATTTCAGTTAGTGCCTCCTTCATTTCTGACTGGTCCTTTTTTATGCTTTTAAAGCCTTCAGTAAGTTCACTGAAGTTCTAAGTTCTTTGAGCATCCTTATGAGCAGTGTTTTGAACTTATCTTCGTTTAGTTCTTTTCCTGGAGTTTTGTTCTATTCTTTCATTTGGGACATGTTTCTTTGTCGCCTCATTTTGGCTGTCTCCCTGTGTTTGTTTCTATGTATTAGGTAGAGTTGCTATGTCTCCTGGGCTTCCTAGGGTGGCCTGTTGTAGTAGGTGTCCTGTAGGGTCCAGTGGCATAGCCTCACTGGTCACCCAGCTGGGCCCTCGTGGTACACTCCTCGAGTGTGGACTTGACACCCTTCTGTTGTAATTGAGTCTTGATTGCTTGGATTTTCAGCAGGGCTCTGGTACCCACCGAGTCCATTCCTTAAGTGTGTCACTTGTGGACGTGGTTGGGTGGTGGTGCTTCGCAGTGTTCTGAAGCTGTCCACTGGGTGTGCTGGCTCTGCAGCAAGGTCAGCCACTGCCTGTATTATACCCAGGGCCACCAGGCATAAGCTACAAAGCGATCTGCAGATGGCTGCAGCTTGTGCTGGGCTTGGAGGTGCCCAGGAAAAGCCAAGTTGTGAACCAAGGCTGGCTGCTTCTAGTGCCAGGCCTGGGAACACTTATCAAGAGGTATGGGGCTTGCTGAGACCAGATGTTGCTTGTTTGAGAGAATTTAGGAAAATCTGAAGCAGGAATCAAGACAGGCCAATCCTATGGTAAAGCAACTAGTAACAGCTTGGGTGGGCCGGAAGGCTGGGTGGGGCGGGGCCTCAGGGAATCACCAGGGTGGGGCAAACAGTGTGAGCCAAGTTGCTGGAGTCCCAGATATGGCTGCAGGCTGTCTTCCTGCCCTGTGGGGGAAGGGCTCACCAAAGGAACAAAGGCCTCTGGCAGCACATCTCTCCAGCCCTCACCCCAATGCCAAACTCAGTTCTTCCCCATATGTCTCTGGTGCCTTTCGAGCTGCCTTCCCCACACTGGAGCTCAGGGACCAAGTCTGAGTAAGTCTTGAGCAGACCCTTTAAGAGGAGCTGCCTGGGGCTTCAGCGGCCTCAGCCTCCCTCAGCCTTCCTGCTGGTTTTTACAGCCAGAAGTGGTGGTGACTTCTCTTCCTGGCACTGGAACCCTGAGCTGGGCGTTTGGTGTAGGACAGGAACCCCTCACTCCTCAGGAAGGACCTTCACAGCTGAGGTAGCCTCCTGATTTTTATCTGCCACATGTGGGTGTGGGACCAGCCCATCAATGCCTCCACCCCTACTACCAGTCTCAATGTGGCTTATTTAATTTTGTAGTTCTAAGACTTCCATTCATTCGATTTCAGGTGGTTTTGAATGATGGTTGTTCTGTAGTTTAGTTGTAATTTTGATGTGGTTGTTGGAGGATGCAAAACCTCG